TGAATAGAATTATATATATGCGATGATATGCATGCAAAATTAAACTATAACGCAAGGTTAGACCCTAGGATGTTTTTCTAACATGTCATGCATGCCTACCATGTTCTGATACCAAATATGATGTGAAACAATCCCATGCGAAAATGATTTTCTTAATGAAAGTTTTCACGCTTAGATTTAGAGGCCATAATAGGAAAGATCTTATGCGGAATTGAACGATAAGATAAATATTAAGTGGTACTTAGCTTAGGTTAATTCTCATGCATAGAAGTTAAGTTCAAAAGATAGCCATCTTAATCCAACATTGCATACGTAGATTGTTCCAACAATAAATTCCAATACTAACAATAAGATTAGGATATGAAGGATCCCTCACACAACTCTTCTAATTACTAGTCTTTAGCGGTGAAAAGCTTGACATGTGCTTTGTGACTCCAAATATAACCACACTTGAAGGATGAATTAGGAAGATATAAACGTAGAAAGAAAAGTTTACCAAGGGAAGACAAATGCGGAGCTCCGACGTGGTCTTTTGAGTGTTTCGGGAGGGATGGACGGCACCACGAATTTTCTGGCCGTTTGGGACAGCACTTTGACAACCCCTTCTTACTAGAGTTCTTGGGACAGCAATCTGTCAATATCCAGAAATTCTGGACAGCAAGTGGGACCGTTCCAGCAACCTCGACATCGAACTACCTTGCTGAAAATTGCAGGACAGCAATCCTTTGAGGTGCACAGAACTCTGGGTAGCAATTATAGGGAGACTAGGGCTGCTTGGACAGCTAGCCGTGGCCTTCAAGTGGTGACGGACAGCAGGTTGTCCTCTCAGAAATTCTGGGACAGCAATATATAGCAATCAGGAAAACTTGAACTTGGTGTTGTTTGATGTTGGAATCTTTGGACCTCAATTTGGGAATATACTGGGTGCAAAACAGCAATGTAGAATTGCTGGACTAGAGATACCGTAAGCAGGAAAACAGCAAGTTTGAAGATACCGTGAAGGGAATTAAGGAGGGGCGGCTAGGTTGAAAGTTTGAGAATTTCCAAATCAGAATTTGGGAGTACTGGAGATGAGGAGGAAATTAATTTGAAGTTGATTTCAAATTTCAAAAGAGATAAGGAGGATTAATGGGCATTAAGTGGGGGCCCATTAAGAAGGGGGGTGGGGGGGGTTATTTTAAACCTGAAATTAATTTCAGGTTTTGAATGAAATAGGGGGAAGATTAATGTGAAATTGATTTCAAATTCATGTGTAATCAATGTATTAATTGGTGGCTTGAATGGGGCTCCATTCAAGGTGAGGCCGGCGGCATGGAGAGAGGGGAGAGGGAGATTAGGGAAGGATTAAGCGCTTTCCAATTGAGTCGATGCCACCTAGGATGAAAAATTAATAATTCCACATGTCATGAAATTTGGATTGGATCATTTCAAAACTTTCCTTTTTAGGAATTTTGCAAATTCAGAAAGTTTGAATTTCAAATTTGAAATTCAAAATCGGTAACTCCTTTATTTATCGCTAGGCCACAATCAAGGAGCCATTATGATGATTGACATCTTCATCTTGGCTTGGAGCAAGGTGGTGGCCGGCAGCCAAAGGAGGAAGAGGGCTTACCATCGGGTTTGGGGATTTTTTGATGGAGCTTGGGTTGTGGTGGAGGAAGAAGAATGTTGCTTGAAGAGGGGAGAAAGGATGAACAAGAATATACGAGAAAGATAGAGATAACTAACGAACTCACACAGAGATCGTAAGAACCGCAAACCTCGGACACTTCCAAAGATTGACGGGTATTGCGAATTACCCTCCTCGGGCTTCTCCTCTCATGAACTCACTAAGAGATCAACAAGAATATAAAACTTTTCATTATCAATAATCATCATCCCTTTCCAAGAGGAAGGGGAGGGCTTAAATAGCCAAATACATGAAGGAAAATAAAAAGACAAAATTACCCCTAGGGCAAACATAAAACAAAGCCCTCAAGTGAGGGTAGAAATGGAAAAGTACAAATAACAAATACATCAAAATAAATAGATACGATCGTAGCCGTTGATCTTCGATGTCCTCATCAAGTAGGGTTAACGGAGGATGAAGGTTAGCAAATCCAGTGACGCCACTGAAAGACAGAGGAGGCCGGCGATCTTGATCAACGAAGATTTGGCCGGAGTTGGAGAGACCGGGAGGGAGGGGGGTCGGCATGTGATCTTCCACGATCCTGTAGGTTGTTGATCTTCTATGACGTCCGCCAAAGTAAAGAGAACATGCTCCACGTATTCTTCGACGGTGCCTTTGGACCCAAATCCGAGGCCGAAGAAAGGTGATTGAAGGATGTCGATTTCCTCTTGAGAATTGTAAACGAATCCATAATCAACATCCAGATCCACCTTCCATGAGCTTGAGGGTAGGTGAGTGGTGTTCTATGGTGTAGAGAGAGAAGTTGGCGTCTTGGGCTAGGCTAGGGATTGAAGAAATTAAGAGAAATTTGAAATTAATTTCAAATTAGGTGAAGTCAGAGGGAAAGAATTTGAATTTTGAATTCAAAATCTCATTGAAAGAATTAAAGTGGGAGGGAGGATGATGCTATCAAATGTTTATGTAATTTTATTTTTATTTGAACAATAGTATATTTTATGTTCTTTTCTTTTTTTAGCTATCCAATGATGGGAAAGCATCCAGTGATCATGGTAGGTTGTGCATGAGGCTTGATAGACTTTTGGTTTGCTGGCTTGATTGGTCCATTTACTACTGCTGGTTCACGGGTTGATTGGAGGAGGTTTGGATGGAACTCATTCTCTTAGTTCCTTGAGCTGAAGTTTTGTAGCTTGTTATTGTCTAAAAGGTAGCTCATAATGAAGGATTCATTGATGGGGTGGACTTGTCCCTTCTTCTTCCCCTTTCTTCTTATCACATGGAAAATCGTGGCTTGTTTTAATGTTGGTTGAATTCTATGCTTTAAAACTCATGAGGGGAGTTACTGTTTTCCGTGCTTTGCTCTTTGGAAATCCAGCCGGCTGCTGGTTTTCCGAGCCTCGGTGGTTTTCCGTGATGTTGGCTCCTTGGTTCCGTGAAGCCTCCTTGATTCCTGTAGCTGCTCCTTCGGGTTCTTATGCTGGGCTGTTTTCCAAAAAAAGAATTTGGGAAATCCTATGAAATATGGTGCTTAGGTTCTTGTGGAAAATTAATATGTGTGACTTTTGGCATTCCCCTACCTTGCCTATAAATATGAGAAGATGTTGTGAAGGAAGGGAGTTGATTATTGTGAGCAAAATTGCTATTGACCTGCGGGTTATTGGAAAAGCTTGCGAGCTTTGTCCGCCTTCTTTCTCATCCCCTCCGGAAATCTTGCGATCTCTTTCCAACCTTTCGTCTCGGCTTCTAACCTCTTTCGTCTCTCCGTAACTGCCACTCCATCTGTATCCTTCTTCTCAAAGTGATGCAACTTTAGGGTGTTGTGTTTTGGTTGATTTGGAAGCTTTTGTTGGAGAAATTGGACAATCTTGCAGTGGTGGACCATCGGTTTGCTAGTCTTATGCACTTATCTTATTTACCTTACAATTCGATGCATGTGAGGAACCCGCTTTGACGGTTGTCTGAGGATAGCGTCTTTTATTTTCTTTATTTCCTTAAAATCTCTTAGTGTTTTCTTGATGGATTTTGAAGTTTTAGTTATTTGCTTTTATTTTAATAAAGTTTGGTTTAAGTTCTATCCATTGTTCCCTTTGTGTCGGTTTTCTTACTTGTGTGTCTACATCATAGGTATTGTGGGAGATAATTAGGGAAGTCTTAATAGAGGGCAATTAATGAAAATTTGAGAGAGAAAGGCACAATGAAGGGGTGGTCGGCCATATAGAGATAGGAGGGAGTGAATTTGTTTTAATTAGGTGGGCCCCAAGGTTTAAGTAACTAATTTAAATCAAATCTGAATTTAATTTCAGATTTAATTTAAAATGGGAGATTTCCAAATTGAAGTTTTAGCATTAGGAAATAATTCGAATTTCAAACTTTCATTGAAATCCAATTTGATGACTTTCCTAATTGCTTAAACTTATTTTAGGATAGTGATTAATGGTCGAAGGAATTTGAATTTCAATCTTGGACAAGAGGGGGTGGGCCGGCGGCTTGGGTGGGAATCAAGGGGGGTCGGGTGGAGGGGGAGGGCCGACGGTGGAGTGGGTGGTGGCCGGCGGCAGGAGAATTGGGGAGTCGGTGTGGTTAGGATGCAGGCTGTTTAGAGAGGAGAAGAGGGTGGGAGTGAAGAGGCCGGCGGGTTGAGCAAGGGAGGGAGGTTAGTGGATGTGGGTGAAGGAAGAAATGATGAACCGCGAACCTTGGAATCCACCAAGATTGACGGGTATTGCTCTCACCCATTAAGGGTTTCTCCTCTCATGAACTCGCCAAGAGATCATGTAAGAAAGTGGAGAAATTTTCATTCATAAACATAATTAGAAAAAAATACAAAGACTAGGCCTTCATATATAGGCCTCCAAAGCACAAAATGTAAAAGACATAAATGCCCTCAAGCTACAGCATGACACAAATTCCTCTTAGGGGTACAAATGGAAAACTGAAAATAAAATAAAAGAAATGCACTAAAACATCATAAATAAAGACAATGAATCGTAGCCGTCGATCTATGATCCCACCGATGTCGAAATGTACAGTGGATGTCCTCATCATATAGGATGTCATCATGGGAGATGCCGGGAGAAGCACTTTGATCTCACATATCTAGAGTTTGCTTAAGGGACACAATATTATACTTGGTTGTTGCGTAGAAGATTTTACTCAGTATAGCTTATCTGGTTTACCAAACTCTTGTGAGTTTCTAAGGTTCTCGTATAAGTTAAATATGAGGGATCTAATAGAAATGAGCTCATTGATTTAGCAAGCTTCTATATTAGTCAAACTAGTACACTTGGTGCGATCAATGTATTAAGAATATACTTGAGAATGCCTTGGATGCATGTACTGAAGGCTCATCATGTTCATTTTTTTATATTTTAAGGATAATTATTTTGAAGAAGCTTTGAAGATGAGAAATCTTCTTGAGGAATTTCATTGCAATCATGGCCTTCGTCAACCAACAATTTTGGGTGTTAGGGAGCATGTCTTCACTGGAAGGTGAGTATCCTCATATCCAAGCATCTGCATTCCCTTTTGAAGAGTCTTTTTCGTCATACCTAAATTTTTCTTTGAATTGTAGTGTTTCATCTTTGGCTTCGTTCATGTCCAATCAAGAGACGAGTTTTGTGACTTTGGGTCAGCGAGTTCTTGCTAATCCACTTAAGTACGTCAATATTTCTACTATATTGTTTAATCTTTTTTTCTTCTCTTGCTCGAAATGTTTCCACATTGTTTCTGTATGCTTTCCTACAGGGTTCGTATGCATTATGGCCACCCTGATGTTTTTGATAGAATTTTTCACATAACTAGAGGAGGTATCAGCAAGGCTTCACGTATAATAAACATTAGTGAGGATATATACGCTGGTGAGTTTTGCTTGCTAAAGAAGTTTATGATTGATTTGCCTTTTGTATTACTCTTTAAGTTTAAAAATTTCAAGTAAAGCTGCTGCTTTTTTTTTTAAGCTGCTACTTTTTTAATTCAATATATTTGGTTTCCTGTTAGATGAACTTGAACTTGAAGGTTGCTTGGAGACAATTTTTATAATAATTTTCGGTTGTTTTTAGTTTTATAGATTTGTTTTTTGTTTAGCTCGGAAAGCATTATGATTATCACCATTCTACTTGAACTGTTTCTTTTCCTGGCATATTATTGTATCGCATGGATTTTGAATCTCATTTCCAACGTTAAAACAGTGTTTGTAATGATTATAATAGAAAGTGATATCAAGTTTCCCTATTGAATTGAGTGAGGCAATTAGAATTTTTTTGGTTAATTTATTGGCACAAGTTTTAACGTGCAAAGTTTTGTTTTAATTAATTATCCTTTGTATATATGATATGAGGGATTTTATATTACTCTGGGAAAAATGTGTTCTATGGATGACACGAGGAAAGTAGTCTACGGTGATTCTCTGCCATTTTAATATGATCTTTTAACGTTAACTTGTGTCTTATTTAACAAGACTTCTTAAAAATGCTGCATTTGAATTGCGTATTACTGATGCGGACATTCAACCATCCATGCCTATCCGAGGAGTTGAAGATCGACGACCGAGATCACTTTGTTTTATTTTAGTTTATTAAGTGTATTTTGATTTAATTTTGCAATTTTTCTTTTTTACCCTCTTGTCTTATGTAAGCCCAAGGGACAAATGTGTCTTTTATTTTCTTTTGAGGCCTATATATAGAGGCCTCTTCTCATGTATTAGACATGATGGATTATTAATAAAATTTTGTTTGCACTTGTGTTCTTTGGAGATAACGTTAGTGAAATCCCTATGGGATAGAGTCGAAGTTTCCACCAGTCGCAGGATGAGTCCGGGCTCGTGGCATGAAGTCCCTTGGAGGAGGGCAACGTAGTACCCGTCAGCCGCATGATGTGTCCGGGCTCGCGGTCGTATCTTTTATATTTTGTTTATTTGTTTTGTGTTCCTTCTTATTACTCCTAGTCATTATCTTCATCCTCTTCACCATCCCCCTCCTTCCGGCCATCCCCACCACCAACCACCACCCCCTTAACCCCTCCTACCAAAGCTCACCTCAACCTAACCACCAACCCAATCCCTTTTCTCCATTAGCTCCTCCACCGCCCCACCCAAGCCAAACCCACTGTCAGCCACCCTTGTTTGTCTCCATGCATGAGAAGTCAATGCCACCTTAATGCTTACCTAAAGAGTTCAAATAATTTAGGAAATTATTTTCATCATTTGAATTTCGAACAGTTTCCTAAATTAGAAAGCTATTTTAGGAAAGTATTGAATCTCATTCATGATGTAATTCAAATTTAATTGATTTGAAATTCAAAATCTTTTCTAATTTATCAAATATATTTTAGGAAAGTTCTTTAAGTAAATCAAATTGAATTTCAAATTCAAATAGGATTTATTTAAACACTTTCCTAAATTTTAAAGCCTTAAATTAAGCACCAAAAATCACCTCCCCAATCTTCTCCATCATCTTTAAACCGCCAGCCCTTTAATAAATCTCCTGGATTTATTTCCTAATCCTCTATTCCCACTTGGAAAGACTTTAAAACCCATCCTTATGACCTGGCCGAAATTCCCCTGGCTGCATTCACCTCATTAAATCTTTCCAACCCCATTGAATTAAATTGGAGATCACGTCAGGCCTTCATCCCCCGGCTGGCTGAAACTTCCCAATTCCCGTATATCAATTTCCTTCCACAAATTTCTCCCCCAAACTCCATCTGACGTTGGGTTTTCTGCCTTCTAAGGCTGCAGCCAGAGAATTCCAGCAACGCTGTTCATCTATTCCCACTAGTCTGTTTAGATTTCCTCCATTAAATCCTCCCGTCCTCCAACCAACGTGAAGTCTTCTACCTCCTAATCCTGGAATTCTGCTTGCTGTCCACTTATTCCAGCAAGAATATCTTGCTGACCAACACTTTGGAAGACCACGATTGACTGTCCCAGAGTTTCTATGTGCTGCCCAAAGCTTTTCTGAGCAATATAGGTTGCTGTCCAGAACAGTTTTCTGCATTCCGGACAGATTCTTCCTGCTGTCCTGAAGTTTCTACAAGACAAAACTGCTGTCCCTGATGTCAAAGCTGCAATTTAGACCTCACTAATTGCTCTTCAAGACCCTTAGGATTCAAAACCTCCTACCCGTTCTACATCAATTACATTTGAAATATTAATCTATTTGACTCGAGAAAATTAATCTATGGCGAACGTCATGCAAAGTGTATTGGAATTGCAATGAATGAATTTGTGATGCACGTGTTTCTTACCTAGTACAGGGTGACTGGATCATGCTAGTGGAAGCACTAATTACACTATAATCTTTCGTCTATGTCCTTTCTTACTATACTATTTCCATTATGGCAGACGTGTGTGTTTGTAGATTAGAAGCAAATAATTATGTATACTTAAGTGATCTGTGAAAAAATTAATTTGTATCCGCATATATTGTTTTACTTCTCCTCGGGTGATTTGAACTTTATTTTTGGGTGAAGCTTTAATTTTGGGTCCTTGTTCTCCTGTCCTCAATTTTAATTTTTAGAATTATTTATTTAGAATCTGTTTCATGAGCATTTCATACAAGTGATACCTAGGTTATGGCGTTATTATAGGTGTTGGAGGTTGCAGTGCTAAAAACGATCTGTTATGCTAGTAGCTTTTGCAACATTCTAGGTTATTTTGAGTGTAATCTTTGGATCTTGGTTTATTTTTAATTAATTTATTTTGCCTTGTGTAAGTGAAAAGGTGAAAGTGATGCAAGCAAAAATTAGGACAACCCCTAATTTTTGCAAGCAAAAGAGACACTTCCTAGGATAATAAAAAATTACACGAAATACTCAAAATTATGACAGAACACGACTTTTAAAACAAAATACAACTTTGATGGAAATAAAAAGATGCTTACAACATAACATAACATTACAAATTTATGACATAGAAACGACACCTAAAGAAGCTTGCCATTCGTCACTTTGAGAAGAAGGATACAAGTGGCATCGAACTTGCAGAGAGAAGGAGGTAAGAAGTCGAGATGAAAAAGAGGACAAGCTCGCAAGCTTTCCTAGGAGAAGAGAGGAATGGAACAAACACGCAAGTTTTTCCACGAAGAAACCCGCAGATTTTGACTCCAAAAATTAGTCACATAACTCACTAAAAAACTCTTTCGTTTATTCACTAAACATCACATATTTATAGGACAAAACAGGGCAGCCAAACAGCCCATAATCATCTCCATCTAAATTAATTAAAGGAGGGAAATAGAGGGCCTGCATTCATTCCAAAAACAGCAACAAAACAACCACAGAAATTTACAAAAACAACACCCGAACAGCCGCAGGAGAATCGAGAAAAACAGGCACGGGAAAGGAGCAGACACCCAGGGAATCGAGACAAAGCTAGGGGATCGGAACAACTCATGGAAAAGAGAGCCAGGAGGAACCGAATGAAATTGCTAGATACAATTGAAATTGCTCTGATACCAATTGAAATTGCTCTGATGACAATTGAAATTGCTAGATACCAATTGAAATTACTAGATGCGCCAAGAGGGGGGTGAATTCGATGATTAAAAACTTCTTTTAATGAAAAGAAATCTCTTTTTATGATTTTATGCGGAATCGAATTTCATTCACAATAAAAAGATAGATAATCAAATTCATCCACGCAATTAACCACAATAAAAATAAATGCGGAAATAAAGTGCAGAAAAATAAAGAAAAGAACACACCAAGATTTTTATAGTGGTTCGGTCAAACCATGACCTACGTCCACTCCCCGGAGGCACCCTCCGAGTATTACACTAAACCTTTAGTGATTCTCCTTTAGCTCCCACAGCTAGGCGGAGAAGCCCTTACACAATCACTTCCACCTTCCCCGGTGCGGCGGAGGAGCCGGGTCCTTTGACACCAATGAGATCTTCTTCTTCCCAAAACTTCCTTCAAGACGAACCTTGAATCCGATGGTACTGAGGTGCAAGCTCGCCGGAGCAACCGTGTGATCTCCTTCACACTCCCTTGAAACCCCCTCCAAGGATCTTCTCCCTCTCTCAAACTTCACCCTTTCCTCTCTCCCTTTCAAGTCCTCTCTTCAAGTTTTCTCCAAAAGAATGAAGACACAATGGCTGCCAAAGACTCTTACAAAGTCTTATGAGAGTGCTTAAATAGAGGGCTCAAAAAACCCTAAAAATACTCAATTCGGGCGTCAAATATCGTACTGTACGATCGCAAGATCGTCCAATACGATGTGCAGAAATTGACCTGTTAGTACTGTACGATGTCCTGTACGATGTGCTGTACGATCCAGTTCGTACAGTACGATCCAGTTCGTCCAGTACGATCCAAATGACAAATTTCAGCCGTTTTGATTGAATAATCTCAGGATTAACTTAGGCAATATTTTAAACATCGTACAGTACGATTATGATCGTACAGTACGATTATACAACCTTTCAAATTCAAATTTTTGCCTAATTTAATGGACGGCGGGCTTTCTAATTATAACAGATCGTACAGTACGATGTGGTGATCGTACAGTATGATTAGTTATATTCAAAAATAATTTTTCCAGGAAAAATAAAATATTTTAATTTATTTCTGTTACACCAGATCGTACAGTACGAAATAAATTCGTACAGTACGATGAACAGAAAAGTTAAAATATTTATAATCATTTTTTGCTCCCTCTATTTGTGTGCATGATCAACAACTTAACATACATCATTACAAGACTTGACTCAATAAATGAAAATTACAGACTCATTTAATACGACCAATTCTATGCAATCTTGAGCCTTGAATCTTCAAAGAACGGTGCATGATGTACCTGAAATATTAGTCAACATAGAAAGACATATGCACTGCAAATACTAGGAGAAATAAGAGATTA